TTCTTCAGCCAGTTGCGTTTCTCTCGCTATGTCAAGTGTGTACTCTAACCTTGCCATTAATGCACAATAACCCATTTTTAATAGAAAATGCCAATGGAATTCCTGCCATTTTCAACAAGATCACACACAGAATAACAGCTCTTCTGCAGATGCACATCTTTCTCTATAAATCTGAGGCAGGGATAGAATATTACACACTGGTGGAAGGGCCAGTATAACCTCTGCAAGACACTAACAGCTTCTGATTATTGACCAGGTCAACTTATTATCTTCAGGTCTTAAAATTAGTTACTGCATGCAACTTGAGAACAGAGAGCAAAGTTACTTACCCACTGAGGGGTAAAAAACTCAATAGAAAAAACATGTAGTACGGCGGAGTCCCTTGTTGGAACCTTGTGCAGCAGAGAAGTAGACATAGCAACACTCAGATCACACATGCAAGTACAAACCTCAGAGAGGTACTCTCATGTTGAAAAAAAAAATGTATGTGCACCTGTACAGGCATTTATTTTTGCATAGGAAAATGGAGTAATACCTAGTTAACTCACTAAGCACAGCAGATCTTGTGCACTGAATGCATCAGGGGTTTTTGTGCAAACACAGTGTGTAATTGTGCAATTAAAATCTTTAGCACAGGTACAAGTGGATTGTATAGCCTATCTTCATTCCAGCTGTAGCTAACACTAAAACTTTTACCTGCAAATACTAACAGATTGTGAGGATAATGAGCTATAACAGAATGCTGAAAATCTGTAACTGAAATACTCACCAATCACTTATTAATATGGTTCCTTGAATGATGTCATCACAGAGATAATACTCAGTCTGACGACATAGAAAAGACCTTCTGCTTCAAATCCAAATTCAACTTTCCACTATCATCTTGGCTTCCTGACTTCTAAGCCACCTGTGAGGACCATCTACTGCTTATAAAGTTTCATATCAACAGCAGTACTTATTGTAAGGACTTTGTTGATACCTGTTTATTTCAGGTATCAATGCTGACACCTAACTCTAGCTCTACAGTGGGATGGAAAGAATCACAGAAAGATTGCTCAAAAGGGACCTTCGAAGATCTTTAGTCCAGCCTACCACTGCCTACCACCACTTACCACCACTAGATCTGGTCAGCCACAACTGTCCAGCCAAGTCTTGAGAACACACCTGAGGATGAATTTTCTGCTCCTCTCTGGTGTTCCTGCTTGCTGTATTTTTACTTACATGTTATGATATCGTATGTTATACTGAAAAACAAATTAAACTCTTCTGGAAGATGCTTTCATCTTTGGGAAAGCTTAGCAGTTAAATGTTAATTATAGAATTATTCTGTAGAATTATTTGGGTTATTCTGTCGGCCAGTTTGACTTTTGTTACAGCAGTCCGGAATAAGTAAGAGTGTTCAAAAGTACTTTCCAATCAGAAGCTTTACAATTTACAACAAATGCTACTGAGAAACCAAAATCTTTGGTTTACATTCCTAGCAACTATGGCTATTCTCTACACAAGATTGCTTCTAGGTCTGTGAATACGTTCTGGCCATGTCCTTGGTTTTGCTGGGATGACACTAGGGTGCATCTTCCTGTGCCTAGCTTTTTATGAAAAAATTCCCCAACAGTTCCCAGTGTGTGGGCTACACTAGAATGAAGCACGATGCATTCTTCCTGATGTCCTGCTCATCCAGATCTGGCAACCAACGCTGTATGGTGCGCTGTCAAGCATCTTACTTATTTATACTCCTCTCACTTACAACCTATGCTGATAATCCATAGTCCAAGTGTTGCAAATACCAATTCCTAAATAGCAAATTTTGTGCTTTGCAACTTGATTTCAAAATGGATGCTCCCTGCTTGATGATTACACTAGAGTAATTAACATTTAAGGCAGTTAAATTTTCGTTAGTGGGTAGATGCTCAATCTGGCACTTGAAATCTTGCCCTTGGAGCCTAGGAGAGTAAAAGCATTGGTTTCTGAGACAAAACTGTGTCCCATTTCTTCTATGCAATTAAAAATAACCACTGAATTTTAGACAATAATAGAGGTCAAAATACCCAAGTGCTATTGAAAACATTTAACCACACACAAATGGTACATATTTAAAAGGCCTTAGAGACTGGCATATTATGCAAACCAATCAAGCTCTCATGGTTTATTCTGCAACTAAAACATCTTAAGCATAAGTATAATCTAATTGTGTACAAGTCACATATAAAAACACAGGTGGCTATGGGTAAACACACTAAGTTAATGCCTGTTGACATTGACGCAGACCTTACTCCAGTATTCTCAAAGTACTTTGCAACTATTGATTAACCTGTTTTATAAAGCAGGGATATCTCTAGCTTTTACTTATTTTAACAAAGGATGAAGTAAGGTCAGGACTGTAACCAGAAATGGAAAGGCAGGGTCTAAAAGACTAGGGCCCCAGTCTTTTCATTTCTAGATAGCTCACCTTCTCATTAAATAGTCAGGCTTGGACAAAAACATGTACTGTAATTGGGAGTTCTACCATTAAACAAATCTATTCAAAAAGCTAGACGCACATTTTCAAGGCTGGAAAAGAAAATTATTTTAGGATACTAAACAAGCAACTGCATGAAATTTAGCTTTCTTACTGAGTTCTAAGATCTTAAAGAATTCTGAAGTCTTGACTAAGTTCATAAGCATTTTCTGAAGGACTGGCTTCATGATGCAAGGGCAAAAATAGATTCACCATGAAACATTCACCAAAGTTCTGTAGTTTTTTAGAGATTACATTAGTATGACATAGAAAGAAACTGAGACTGATTTCCCAGAGAGGCTATGACAAACCTCTTTTTTTCACAAGGAATTAAATATGGAGCCAAAAAGAACTGCTAAAGAACTGTAGAGATCAATAAGCACAGACTTGTACTACAGCCTTCAATATAGCAAGAAGCTAGTTTAACCTACACAAAATTGCTACTTCTCTTCCTGTGTTTTCTGACCGGTGAGCTGGCTGATGTGACTTGGTTACTTCTGCATCTGCTGTTCTGATAGACTAATGAAGAGTGACTTAAGCTACTGCTATTGCTGTTGCTGACTCTACTGGATGTGACATCAGTTAGCATGGAAACTTCATTTGGCGTTGCACAATAACAAGCAAAAAAAAACCCAGTTTGGCTGGATGACTTTCATCAAGACTTTCTCCCATATGGAGCAAGCAAAGATCTTCAAGGGACCTTACAACACTCGTCTTCCAGGACCATAAGGGGGTGGGAGATGATTTAGCAACACTGTGAAACATGTAGTGAGGAAGTTTAGATATGACCTGAAGATGCATAGATGGAAAGCAATCTTTTTTCATGCGGATAGGTCATGCCAGATAGCTTAGACAACTTGTGCAAAATGACAAGATTAGCGCACAAAGGGAATGCAATGCGGCAGATCTGATTTTACAGAAACATTATTTATGGGTTAGTGGGTGGACAAAAGTTTTCTCAACAGATTTTTGCACATCGAATCACACACAGAGTTCAAGTGGTTTCTTTAGCCTCTACTTAGTGCCACTTTCTAGATAACATTTTGCTGTAATTTAATTTATCTAGACTTTAATGAGACTTTTGGTACTTTACTGCCTAGAAAATTATTACTGACACTGGAAATATGGTGCCTGGTTACGAATATTGCAATGAAGATATGAAGTTGCCAGACATATTGTAAACAGAGCATAATTACAGTATATTTACAGTTGAACATCAAAATGGGAAGAGATGCCAAGTGGCATTTCTCAGAAGTTAATATTGGGACTGATACCATCTAATATCTTCCCTAATAATTTGGAAAATGAAGTAAATTGTGCATTGATTGAATACACAGTAGACACATGAGGAACATGAACTACAACACAGCAGGTGGGTGGATTGAAAAATACCCCCAGAACAATCTGGAGATCTAAGAGGGATAGAGAGAAGGGTGCATTTAGAAGGGAAGATATTTAATGCAGACAAATGTAGAATAATAAGCTTAGAGAAAATTAACACCCATCTCAAGTAACCAAGTGGGAAAATGCCAATTTTCATTACAAAAAAAAATATTTCACAAAAATCCAAGAGATTTCACAGTTTATTCACACTGAAAATTCACATTGGGGTATATGCATCAGGTTTGACAACTTGTTTGCTACATTCCAGCCTGATGTGATTTTAAAAGGAAGAGTAACAGATTCCCTTAAAAATCTGCCTTTTAAAATAAATTTTTACTTATTTTATATGTATAGCAAATGCTCATAGAAGACTCAATTTACAGTCCTGTTAGTGGAAGTAACACAGTAGTAATGTAACTTAAGTAAGAGACACAGAAGCAGTACATACGAGGGCCAAGGTGGAGGTCAGGAAGCCAAAGCCCATCTGTCTCCAATACTGTCGAGGAATTCTAAGTGTTCACTCGATGCAACAGAGCAAAATCCATGAAATACTAGGTTGCCACTGTTTTGTTGACTTCAGTTTAGAAGCTCAACTATGCCTTCAGTTTAGAAGCAACTATGCCTTAAGGAAAGCTATTACTGTATTAAAGAAATAAGATTCTGAGGGATATTAAAAAAAAAAAATGAGGCTTAAACAAATGCTGTAACAAGCTTGCTACGTTAAATGACTACTGTATACAGTAATGAAACTTAAATATTATCTGTAGGATGGAAATTGTCAAAAGAATATACCCTCTTCAATAAAATTAACCTGTAATTACATAAACTCACTAAGTATAGAAACATATTTTATGACACAAAAAACCCTACACGGACTATGTTACAGAACTGCTACTGGCTGAGAGTTAAAGAGCGCACTAAAACATTATTTTTTTAACAATAACCATAGTACATTATTTTGTCACAGGAATGATTCATTACAAGAAAATATAAAAACTTTATCAAACTGAGTATTACTTTTCTTCCTAAGACAGCAATCCAGATATAGCTGATGCATACAAAATGGCTGATGTGACAGCAATCAATATTTTTTTTTAGGTATGTTTAAAAACCTGCTTACCAAGGGGAGCCATATATTCTGAATCCCCTCACCGTCACTTCAGAGTCTTGAAGATAGATGCAGTTTGTTAGAAGAGACTGTACATTTTCATAGCTCTCTGGCTTCAGCTTAGAAACAGAGGGGAAATAGTAAAAGTCCTGCTTGATTAAGTCAGCCATGAATTCCTGGTCAAAGGTCAATTCATGATTTCCTGCTATCACAATCTTGTATTCATAGGGCAGGCTACCTAAAACAGTGAAAAGCAAACAAATTACGTGTTTTATGGAAAATCTGATAAAAGAAAACAGACAGACTCACAGACTATTATCAATTCCTATAATATGCTCACATACTGAAAACAACAGAGCATACGCCTTACTACGTTTTACTGCAATTTCTGGTGATTTCAGGTAAATGACATTACTGTCTTTTTCAGGGCACACTATGATTTAGCATACTTAGCATTAATGTGTTGAAATTACTTTCAACTCATCAACCTTAAAAACCAGTCTGCAGACTTCTGCTCTACTATTTACTTCTAGTTAATTGCCATTTGTGCTGCAAGTATCACTTACTGTGACAGTGATGATAACTCTTTGACAGAAATTAGGGTTCAAAGAAGATCAGTCGTAACGCTTCACAAAATAATGTCAGCTCTTCTCCCAGAGCTGTGGTCTTTATCCGCTTGTATTGAGGAGGTCTTACAGACTCAGAACTTGGGTCAGTCAGAGGTCTGCTGCCCTCTTTGCCCTTTCAAATCAAGCCTTCAACCAAGACAGGGATGGGGTTTAGCTGTCAAAACTCCACATCCCACAAAGCAGTCTTGCAGTTTGCCTCTATCCCATGTTTTTTCCTGCTCCATTTTCTCAGTGACTTCCTTAGATCCATGGACTATAATTTAAAGTGACTCATGTTCAAGAATATTTTACAAACTGTATTTAGTGAAAAACCTTACAACCTCCTGCCGACTGCAAGAATATACATGCCCACATACATAGGTTCTCCCTGAGAGCAGCACTGCAACAGGAACTTTCTACCTAAGTCCACATTTGGTTATCAGCTGGATTGTCCTTGAGAGCAGGCATCACCTGCCTCAAGAAGCTTAACAGAAACCTTCTGAGCACATCTGAGAGGAAACAAAGACAGAAACTGTGTAAAGCTGCATTCATTAGCTTTGCTTCTGCACTGTTACTGTGCATCGGGATGAAGACAGTCAGAATAGGAGACTGGGACCAGAAAAAAAATATTTTCTTGAAAATGAGACCCACTGTGCATAGCAGCAATCTTGTCATTTTTAACATGTATTGTTGATAACATAGAAATGACCACAACCATAACCTAGAGGTAGGATATTTAGAGAAGGTAAACCACCACCCAATATGTAGTGGAAAAAGTTGACATGTATAGGACTTAAGAATAAAATGCAAGAGTGTAATTCAGAGTTACAGAAATATGAAACAAAGAACAGTGCTAGCCCAGAGGAGATGCCACAAGGCTAAACTCATTATTTGCCATATGAAACGATATCGGTAACTCTTAAGTGTAAATTTCAGACACCTGGAACACCTGTATTAGGAAAATTGATTGTACATTTTCCAGTCTTTCTGGTGGGTTCAATACATATGTGCTTTTAGAATATTTGCTAAGAGAAACTGTTTTCAGATATCTATAATTACATGTTGAATGCTGGAGATTCTCTTTTTCACTTGAAAGACTACCTGAGATGTACATTTTGTAATTTTTGCCTCTGAAATGCTTAGCATTTTGCAGATGTGCACTCCATCTCTACAAGTTTTCTGTGTGTGTGCACATATACACACATAAGTTAAAAATGTTACTTAGATGCTACAATATGTATGGGCATCTACATGCCCTAAAGCATTCTTGGTAAAAAAGGAAAATAAAATCCTGAATACCGCAGTGCTGTTAACAATTCCATCTCTATTGTTTTGTACATCTTTTCCAGCTCATCTGATCCATCCATCTAGCAGCCAAGAACCTGCACGAGCTTGTTATAGCTGTTGCTTCCACTAATGTATTTATGTCATGTTGCTGTCTGTGGGTGTTACTTAGGCAAATTAGCAAATTACTCTAAATGTACAGTTACATTTATTATAGTGGCGGCCAGAAGCGCTACTGTAGTTACAGGTCTGTCAGCTTTTCAATTAACAACTGTGTTTTTGATGAGTTTGCAGCTCAAGTTTTTTTTTTCTTTCATTCCATACCAGGTGGCACCTTGCTAAACCCATTTCCCTCTTTTTGCCTCCACAACCTCTCTTTACCATCTTTTTTTTTTTTTTTTCTCCCTAACAGATATTTTTTCTGCTCATGCGTGTTTTCATTGCTTCTTATAGCAATTGGAGACATGGTGGAAGAGCTCACCTGACTGGAGAGATGCAATGGATGGACACAGGCTTATAACCTGTCTATCACACCTTTGAAAAGTCAGGGGGATTGCAGAAGTTTCCCTTGGCTGGAAAAAGGCAAATGTCATACCCACCTTCAAGAAAGACAAGAAGGGGAATCTGGGAAAATACAGGCCATCAGGCTTCACATCAGGCCTGGGAAAATTATGGAACACATCTCTCATAAAGTAGTTTTCCAAGCAGTGAAGGTCAGGAAAGTGAATGGGAACAGCCATCAGTGATGGCTAAATCATACCTGACTAACACAATTGCCTTCTATGAGGAGATGACTGGCTCTGTGGTGAAGGGGGAGTACTGGATGCTGTTTGCCTCGATCTTAGCCTTTGACACAATCTCCCACAGCATTCTTATATCCAGATTGCTAAAATAAGGATGGATGATAAGGTGGGTCAAGTATCCTCTAGAATACTGAGCTCAAAGGGCTAAAATCAGTGGGACAAAGTCCATTGGAAGCAAGTCACTAGAGGTATGCCTCAGCTAGTGATGTTGGGGCCAATACTACTTCCTTCTGTACTAACAGCCTGGATAATCTGATGGAGTGCACTTTCAGCAAATTTGCAAGACAACACCAAATTACAAGTGAGGATATGCTGACTCACTCTGGAAGGTATGTGTGCTCTTCGGAAGAACCTCCAAAGTTTGGAAAAATGGTTTGACAGGAACCTCATAAATTTCGTCAAAAGCAAATGCAAACTCCTCCTTTTGCATACTCCTATGAGAGAATAACAAGACTAGGCACAGTGTGTCTTTGTGGCAAAGCCAGACAACCACAATGTACTAGTTAACAGTGAAAATAGCTGAACAAAGGGAGTGATCTTTCTCCTCTGTCTAGCACTAGTGAGATCAAGTCTGGAGCGTGGTGTCCAGTTCTGGGTTCCTCAGTAAAAGAAAACATAGGGACAAACTGAAGGAAGTCCAGCAGACAGCCGCCAAGATGGCTGGGGAATGTGGCATACGGGAAGAGGCTGAGATGTGAGTCTCTTCAGCCTAGAGAAGATGAAGACCTTACTGCTGCCTGCAACTACCTGATCTCAGGATACAGAGAAGCCAGAGCTAGGTTCTTCTCAGAGGTGCACACAGATACAAGAGGCAACAGACACAAGTGGGAACACGGTACAAGGAAAGAATTTTACTATGAGGACGGTCAAAACATGGAATAGGTGCCAGAGCAGCTGTGAAATCTCTGCTCTTAGAGATATTCAAAACTCAACTGGACAAGGAGGTTCTGAACAGCCTGCTCTAACTAGGCCTGTTACAAACAGGAGGCTGGACTCTGACCTCCAAACGTACCCTCCATCCTGTGTGATTCCAGGTTTCTGCAAGTCTACACTGGAAAACTAACAGTAATTTTAAAGAACCTGCAATGTTGCAAGGAATTAAAAACTCATTTCATGTTGTGATTCGAATGAAACAAATCTACAGTAGGCAAGCAATTTAACAAGACTAGAGAGTATGTTCCATTAACTGGTATAAGTTTTCATACTATCCATTTTGCAGCTGAGTAGGACTAAATACTCAACTGATAGCTAATTAACATTTGATGCTAGTATACGGCTTTACTGGAGGGCAGGTAGCAAACTCCTTATTAATAGAGAAGCTAAATACAAAAGCATTATAGAAAATTTACAGCTGTCACAGGAATTCTGCACACATATCCAGGACAAAACTCATTCCCCAGTAAAATTAAGGCATCAAGCATGTTAGATCTGCCTTTCTGGAGTGCCAAGAAACACATACAAAAACATACGCCACAGGAGTCAAAGATGTATTTTCGAACCAAAAAACAAAAGGCAAAGTTATGAATTTGGTGGAAAGTTATTTTCTTTTTTAAATTATTTTGAGTAGCCAAAACAAGACAAGTGGTTTTGCTTGAAGACCAGGGAATCCCCTGTTCCTGGCTCCTGAGAAGCTTCTCCTAAAATATTTCTATAAGCTGGAGAGGAACTAGAACTAGAATTGGTTGAAAACAATTTACCTGAACAGCATTCTATATTAAAATTATTAAAATACTACTTGGATGGAATGGGATATATTTGGAAATTCATATAGTGATTCTGACATTACCAAGAAAAGAAAATGAACCAAAATGTCAGTTTAAAGTATCTGGGAGTAAAAAATTTCTGGGGGTAAAAAAAATTTCTAAGCAATTTTTTTTTTCTTAAAATGAGGGGGTTTTCCCTCCCATAATATCCAACTTGCCAGAAATTAAAATTATTTTCCTCCATAATCAACCTCTAGCCACCTCATCCTATTTGGATTTGGAATCAACAGGAATCTTTACACATCAAAATTCTGTCAGAAACATACTGGCTCAAATTTAGTCCTGGCCTTCAGGGCTTTTAGGCTACATCCAGCTTTTGCCTTCTGCCAACTTGGAGTGAGGCTCCAAGCCACCATTCTCTTTCAGACTCTACCTTAACAAAGCATGAGAGATTTTTCCCTTCCTTTTCCTTCATCTATGCTGCATGGTTTTTCATCTTTCCTGCCACATTTTCCCCCTCCTCTCCTTTTTGTAATTTCTCCCTGTATGCAGAAAAATGCTGGAGACATTACCTTGCACTTAATTTAGCATTTTACCAAAGGGCTTTTTCTTACAGAAACAAAACTTGCAGCAGTACTATGCTTCAGACTTCTGTATGTTTGTTTCTCGACATCCCTCTGAAAATGCCCAGCAGATTCAGAAGTTATTTGTTATATTCAGCAAAGTAAGTACCTCAAAGGTACTTATGTTCCCTTGAGCTTCCTCAATATGTCTAAGACTAATGCCCAGTCTGAAGGAGAGGTTTCAAAGGAATGAGACACCTAAGGATCCACAGAAGTC